TAGTTCCTTACCTCCTTCTAATATCATATCTGTAGTAATACTATCTTCTCCTGCAGCTTTATATCTCTTCATTTTTTCCAATGCTGTAGTTACCTCTGAAATTGTTACTTTTGGCATTATTTCTGATCCAACATTTTTTATTAATTTCCGTGCTGGTCTCATCTCATTATCTTGTTGATGTGATCTGTAAAGTTCTGTGTAAAATTCTTCTATTCGTGTCAGTATGTTTTCTCTACTTGTGATTTCATTTTCGTCCTTTCCCATTAATGATATCATCTGACGTCGTCCTAGTGTCGGTCTGAGGCATTTCATACTCTTATTTTTTTCAATAGTTGTTGTTATTAATTTTTCGTTTTCTTTTCTTTTTTGTTGTCTAATTCCTTTTCTAATCTGCCTATTAAGTTCTCTATATTCGTCGGTTCCCCTTTTGTTAGATTTATTTAAGATCTTCCTTCTTTCTATTTGTTGTAATATTTCTTTGTCTAATTCATTGTATGTTGTTTTTGGTTTTTTCAGTTGCAGAAGGCTTTTATTCACTGTTTCGGTAATAAGGTTATTCAAATCATCAATATCATTGGAGTTTATCTGCTGCATGCTTTTTATTAAATTCACTATTTTTGATTTCTTCAGATGTCCATTTGTATCTTTTTTCATGTATTCTTTTTCTTTCTAGTTTTTTGTTAATTATTAGTTTTGTTCTTATTAGTCTATGATCGCTTCCTAGGTCAAACTGATTTAATACTGATACGTCTTCTACTAGGTTTCTATTCTTCGTTAAGATATAATCTATTTCATTCTTTGTCTTTTTATCGGGACTCATCCATGTCCATTTTCGGCTTGGTTTTTTATTAAAAAAGGAGTTCATTGAGTACATGTTATGTTCATTCATGAAATTGAGAAGCATTTCTCCTCTATCGTTTCTTTTCCCGTAGCCAATTAAATGTTCATAATCTTCCTTTTTTTTGCCCAATTTAGCATTAAAATCTTCTAATAGTATTTCGTAATTTGCTTTATTTGTTTCTATAGCTGTTCTTATTTCATCATAAAATATTTCTACTTCTTCATCGTCGTGGCTTTTGGTCGGAGCGTACACTTGGATCACTTTCAGAGTGGTTCTTTTATTAATCCTGATGATGAGATATGCTACTCTGTCTGATATGGGCTTGAATTCTTCGATACACTGTGTGAGGCTTTGTTTTACCAAGAATCCCACTCCAGTGTATTCGCCACCTTTATGCATAAAATGTGTGCCATTTTTTAGTATTATATACTCATCACTTTTTCTTCTGGTCTCGCATATACCAAGGATATCCCATTTTATATCCTTTAGTTCACTTTCTGTTTCTGGGAATCTATTGTCGTCCGTCAGTGTTCGAATATTGTAGGAGCATAGCCAAATTGTCATCTTGTGGCAGCCGGGTCTTACCCAGGGATTCTTAGCACCCCCCTTCCGTTAGTTGTTTGATCGCTGCCGAGATCAAGACTCTGGAAAGTGCTGGGCACTGGGGGCCTTTTCTTTTTTGTCCTGTACATGACGTTTGTCATGCACTTAGTTTTGAGATCTTTTAAATGGCATTTTCAAGTAAGTTTACTGTCGAATGTTAGTCCTAAAATCCGCATACTCTTTACTGCAGGTAGACAAGTACTATTTATGGCCAATTTTGGGATTTATAGTACTGGCTGTCCTGCGAGAAAAATTAATGATTTTTGTCTTTTCAACAGAAAAATTAAATCTTACTGAAGTAGCAATTGGTCAGTAGCATTCTGAAGTAGTTTGCACGTGGTAACGGTGTCTTTGCCTCGCCAGAAAATTATTAAATCATCTGCGTAGAGTGCAAACTTGTCCGAAAGCTTAATTTTTTTACATCTAAAGAGTGTAGGACATATACCGACCCTTGGGGAACGCCATCAGTTTGTTTAAAAGTCCTAGAAATTTTGCCATTTTCTCTTACGTTAAAGGTTCTTTTTGTTAGAAATTGATTTATAAATGAAGATATGTTTCCAGATATACTGTACTCGAGTTTAGCTATAATAAGACGCCTATACAGGGTATCGAATGCTTTTTCGATATCAAACGACACAGCTATTAGGTCTTGTTTGCACTGAAAGGCGTTATGTTTGATGTTTGGAGGATTGCTAGATTGTCTGCTGTACTTCGATGTGATCTAAAACCTGATTGTGCCAAATTTATTATTTTATATTTTTCTAGGAATCACAGGAGTCTTTTATTGATCATTTTCTCCATTAGTTTGCACATTGTACATGTAACAGAAATTGGTTTGTAGGAATTTGGATCAGTTGAAGGTTTACCTTGTTTTTTAACAGGTATTATTATGGATTTTTGCGTCAAATTTGGAAATGATTTTTGGTTCATATTAAATTGTAACTTTCCAGCAGTTTAGCTAGACAAGGCCTTAAAAGATTTTTAATAAATATAAAGGGCATGTTATCTAGATCTGCATCACAGTTTTTCACAACAGTACAATGTGTCTGATAATTCTTGTAATGTAAACGGCATATTTAGAAATTTGATCGGATTTTCTGCTATCAGATAAACTGGAGTTTAGATTAGTAGGCATGGGAAGCTGCTAATTTGAAGTAAGTCTATTTGTTGCTTTCTTATGAAAATTTTCACTCAAGATGTTAACAATTTGTTGACTACAAGTGACTGTGCTGTTTTGAATAAGTTTTTGGTTTTTTTAAACAACCATATAAAGGGAAAAATCGTTTTTTGCCTATAAAAATGTCTTATACATTGCAGTAATACATAAATAAATTACAAAATACATAAATAATTGACATAGATAATTTCAAAAAACCATTATTTTTGCAATAATTTATTAAAAAATTTAACATTTGATCAAATTTGTTATTAAAACGGTCTGGCTTTTTAGCTTATAAAAATTTATAATAGTTTTAATATTTTTTATATCACAACCTTGTAATTAGGCTCACTGAAATTATGGCGAAAAACACAATATTAAAAAAAGAACTTTATTATAGTCTTTATAGTCTTTAACGAAATGGATTGAGGAGGGGAGAACTGTTTGTCTCAAATTGATCATTTAGAATTATGTCTGTGTTTTTTAATTTGTTAATTTCCATAGATTCAACACAGATAGCTTAAGGCCTTTATTTTGAATGTGAAGAATTTGATATTCGTCATTAAAGGAATGAATATGATCTAGAAAGTGAACTGCGTATGTAGAATCAGTTTTTCTATTATTAAAAGCCCTTTAATGTTCTGCTATTCGTTTATTAAAATTTCTACCAGTTTGACAGATGTAAGTTTTTGGGCAGTCGCCACATTTAAGTTTGTATACAGTCTGTAAGTGCTTTTTATTTTGACTCTTGTTTTTAATATATTTGTCCAAGTTGTTGGTTGTTTTTATGTATTGGGCTATTTTTGTTGACATTTTGCCTGTATGTGTGACGGAGCAGAAGGTACTGGGTTTTTTCTCTGGTGGTGGAAATACTAATTTCAGAGCTTTCTTGTGTAGTTTTTGATTTAAAATTTTATTAATTGCCTGTTTGTTGTATTCATTATTTACTGCTATTTGCTCAATTATATTTAATTCTGTCTTAAAATTGTATTTTGACATCGGAATTTCTGTTAATCTATGTAACATGCTATGATACGCTACCAGCTTATGTTGTGTAGGATGATGGGATGGTGAATTGTGTATAGTCCATATAGTTGTATATAGTATATAAATTAGTGCAAAAATAGGGTTTCTTGCAATTATCTTGGTCAATAGTTCATGTATTTTAATTTAGAAACTCATAAACTTTTTAAGATCTACGATTTTTATTTGAACAATCTTTCTCTAAAATGTATAAGAATCGTTTAATAGGCAAAAAAATGATTTTTTCACTTTTTATGATTGTTTAAAAAAATAAAGAAAAATTAGCTGTACGTCTTCAAGAATTTGTCATCTGCTATTGTGCAGATGACATATTTGTCATATGCTAGTGTGTTATTTAACAATCTTTTGTACAATTATTTTATGTAACTATTATTAGACTATAGACGAAATTTATATTATAACTCAATTGATATAAATAAATATATACTCAATAAATTATAATTATTTGTAAGTATATGTAAACTATGCATAAGTACGATAGAGGCGCACGGTAGCGCGCGGCGCCGCGGCGGCTGAAAAATCGAGTGTACGCGCATACTTAACAATTAAAAAACAACGGTCTAAATTAAAATAAGCCCCGATTACTCTTCACAATCTTGAAGTTGAATGTTTAAACTTTGATTTAGACACTTGGTAACCTCAAACATAATAATTTACATATGTGTTTTCAAGCCTCAAAAATGCGTATTTTCGCGTTTTTTAGACTTTAAATCGCTTATAACTCGAAAACTATCAACTTTAGAGAAAAATGACAAGAGACTTTTTTTGTTTAAAATGACCCAAAAAACCTAAAAAACGTTTTCCAGATTAAAAAAAAATTATTTTTGGACTTTGTTTAAAAAAATTGTTTAAACAATTTCTGCCCAAAAATTTCGCCCGGCACCCTTCAGATTTGTTTAAAGGGGACATTTTTGAACCGGAATCCGCGAAGAAACCGAATCAGAAACATTTTCCCAACGGGAGCGGCCTCACAGCCTGGACTATCTGACATTGGAGAACAGACTATTTATTTATAAAAGGTACAAATTTTGAATGAAAATAAAGTGCAGAAATCCTTAACTCTTCGACGCACATATCTGGTTTTTCTTCACATACTACGCAGTAATATCGAATTTCTCGTCGGTTTTTGTTTCTTGTACAAACTCTGCACGGTTTTGTTGACTTTCTTTTTTTCTGTTGGTGGTAAGCCTGCTAAATAACGATCCCATTTTAACATTTTTGTCTTTTTTTGTGTGTTTTCCCCAAGCAAACATTATATGGACTTAATTCTAAATTGTCTAAATTGCAGGGAAATCGTTGTTTGCAGAAATAAAAAGTAAACATTGTGAATAAATATTTCGAAAAAATGTAGTGTTACGCCGGAGATATAGTAGTAATCCTGAATTCTATTAGGTTTTCAAGTAATCCTAACATTACGGCTACAATCTGACACCATCTGAAGTCTATACTAGAAATTACGAGATCTCTCTTATCAATCCACTTGCAAACTACTACTTTACGTTTCCGCTTACAAATAAGTTTATCTCTTTCAAATTTTTGAGCTACAATATCTTTTGGACTATCCTTTTTGTTGTTTCTTGGGTTACTACAAACAGTTTTTTTTCAGGTAGCATATCCGTGAGCTTTACTAAATTGTAAAAATGATCTATACAGGGTGAGTCATGAGGAACTTTACATACTTCTACCATATGTAGAGTCCCTCAGGGAGCATATCATGTGGTCACTAAAAAATGTCAACTACTCTTCTTTATTAATTAACAGGGTGATTTGTGTAATTGACCATTTATTTCATTTTACTGTAGTGTTTATACGGCTCATTTGATTTTTTTAATTTTTGCATGATACAGTACACTATATCAAGCATTCGACTGGTATTAACTAAACTAAAAAATTCGGCTTTGGAAAAATTAATTTAGGGATTCGTATTAAATATTACACCCTGTATATATTTGTTTAAAAATGCAATAAGTGATTTTCAAACTACATAAATAGCCAATGAAAACGACATATGCGACAATGTTGTCGCACTTTTATTAAATTTTTAGTGAACGATCAAATCTTACCAAAAATAGAACAACCATAATGAAGTATCAAATTATAAGGTATTAATTTAAACAAATGTTATAAATTTCAAACATTTTAATTAAAACTAGTTCCTACAACATAATCTAATACGTAGAAAATTAACATCTTTACTGTCACTTTGTATTATCTTTACGATAGAATCAATTGTTTTTCAATTTTAAATTTTTACTCATAGATCGTATTGGGGCATTATTTTCGATAAATAATAAATTAAATTGATTAAAAAGTCAAACCTCTTGTATGTGTTAGTTTTTGTTGATTGTAAATGATTAAAATTTTATGTCAAATAATAATACATTTCATCAACTGTACTAAATAAAAATAAATCTAAAAAAGTTTAAAATGAAGGTTGGTTATTAATGTACGTAAAGTACATTGTGTTAGTTTTGGTAGAGCTTTTGTTACTTTCGTTCAAAATGCCACATCAGTTTTCGACCACAGAATATGCAGACATAATATTTGTTTGTGGATTCTGTAATGGGAATGGTAGGGCTGCTAGTAGAGAATATCGCAGGAGATTTCCTAATCGTCGAACTTGCAGTCATCCAACATTTCGGTCAGTTTTTAATTATTTGCGAGAAAATGGCACTTTTCCTAGTGGAACAACAGAGCGACGTGCATGCAGATGAAGCGCAGGAAGATGACATTATGGACGCCGTTACTATGAATCCTACAATAAGCACTAGACAAGTAAGTCGAGAACTCAATGTTACTCAATCAAAAGTAAGTAGAGTCTTACAAAAAAAAAAAAAAAATAATAATCTATACTCATATTACATTGCAATGGTTCAGCGACTACATGCTGGAGATGAGATCGATAGGTTGGAATTTTGTAGATGGATTAACAATAATCGACCAACGCTATACAGGACACACTTTACAGATGAAGCCAAATTTACCAGAGACGGGATAAATAATTCACGAAATTCACATGTGTGGGCAGAAGAAAATCCCCATGCTATTCGAGAACGTCGTTCTCAGTTAAGGTTTTCGGTTAACGTGTGGATTGGTGTCATAAATAACCAATTAGTAGGTCCTCACTTTTTTGATGGTCCTGTAACAGGGCAGGTCTATTTGAACTTTCTACAAAATATTTTGCCGAATTTGCTTGCCAACGCGAACGTTGCTATCCGAGGGATGTATTTTCAGCATGATGGGGCACCCCCCCACTTTTTACCGGCAGTGAGACAACATCTCAATAATGTTTATGGCAACAGGTGGATAGGACGTGCAGGTCCTATTTCGTGGCCTTCAAGATCCCCTGATTTCAATCCCGTTGATTACCATATTTGGGGACGATTGAAGCAACTAGTTTACGCAGTGAATATTAATAACCGACAACAATTAATTGATAGAATTATACATTGTTGTAATACTACTAGAAACGATCCCCAGAGTATCCGTAATTCAATACGTCAATTAACAATTCGGCAACAAAAATGTGTACAGGCTGCAGGGTTCCATTTAGAAAATCTATTTTGAATTATTTTTATTTTGTTACCATTATTGTATCTTTCCCAGTTCTAATTTATGGGTTTATCCCATAAATAAATATCCCAAAAATAAATAAAAACGATTTTTTTAAATTGTTCTTCGTTATTGTTAGTAGTTACTGTTTTTTGTTGTGCAGTGACTCAGTTTATCATTTCAATTAAAATGTTTGAAATTTATATCATTTGTTTAAATTAATTACCTTATAATTTGATACTTCATTATGGTTGTTCTATTTTTGGTAATATTTGATCGTTCACTAAAAATTTAATAAAAGTGCGACAACATTGTCGCATATGTCGTTTTCATTGGCTATTTATGTAGTTTGAAAATCACTTATTGCATTTAAAAAAAATATATATACAGGGTGTAATATTTAATACGAATCCCTAAATTAATTTTTTTAAAGCCAGTCCTGGAATTTTTTAGTTTAGCTAATACCAGTCGAATGTTTGATAGTAGTGTACTGTATCTTGCAAAAATTAAAAAAATCAAATGAGCCGTATAAACACTACAGTAAAATGAAATAAATGGTCAATTACACAAATCACCCTGTTAATTAATAAAGAAGAGGAGTTGACATTTTTTAGTGGCCACATGATATGCTCCCTGAGTTACTCTACATATGGTAGAAGTATGTAAAGTTCCTCATGACTCACCCTGTATGTATAGCCGTTATCTTTAAATAGTCTTCCTTCCATTGGGTGTAAACCTATATCATTAACATGACCTAATGTTTTATTCGCCAGTTCAGATTTTCTGCGACATATTCTAATTTTTTTGTATCAGAACATTGGGTTCACATAGTTTGTACAGCATTGTACCATATTTGTGTTTTTTGTTTTTAATATATTGACGAAAAAAAGTCTTCCACGTCAAAACATTAGTGGCAGTGAAGCATCAATACAAATACAGGGTGTTTCAAAAAGGTATGTCATAAATTAAATCACGCATTCCGGGGACAAAAATAAATTGATTGAATCCAACTTATCTTAGTACAAAAGTGTACACAAAAAAAGTTACAGCTTTTAAAGTTAAAAAAAAAATTATTTTTTTGCATTATCTCCTAAACTACTTGACATTTTGTAATAAAAATGGACACATTACTGTCTTGTTGAAAGAGTTTTTCATAAAAAAAGAAACAACAAAATCTATGCGCACAGAAAAGTTTTAGGGGGGTGTGCAGCCCTAAATCCCCCCAAACTTCTTAGTACGTTCAAATCTAATGAATTTTGTGGCAAATTGAGCTGATACAAATTTTATTGAACATTCTTTTTACGCTCGCAACTGACATGCAAAATCGACGGTCGCTTCAAGCGTTGTTTCTAAGAGAACGGTTCATTCTACACAAAAAATGCTTATACATATTTCTCAGTTACATTTTTTTCTACGGTGTACACGTTCTTGATAAATTGATTTTTTTTTCTGTAACAATAAAACACTGAAAATTTGTTTTCAAACATCCACAAAATTTATTTTAAATGTTATCACTACAGCTGTTTCGGCTGATTGCCTTTCTCAAGTGATCTATTTTTGGCTTGGGTTTACAAATTTATAGTCTCTAATGAAATAGGTTGAGGAGGGGAGAACTGTTTGTCTCAAGTTGGTCATTCAGAATTATATCTGTGTTTTTTAATTTGTTGATTTCCATAGATTCTAACAAAGATAGCTTAAGGCCTTTATTTTGAATGTGAAGATTTTATTACAATAATAAAATACAACATTTTCAATTACCTAACAACTCCAGATTAATTTCATTTGACGTAAAAAATCTTTTTCCTAGTATCCCTCCTACAGAAACTTTTATTCTAGTAAAAAACCTTTTAGACCAAAATAGTACAAATCCAATAATTACATCTGAAATTTTACATCTTCTTGAAGTTTGCATAAACCAGGACTACTTTGAATTTAATAATAAAATATATACAAATAACAGTGCAGGACTTATAATGGGTAATCCTCTAAGCCCATTGCTATCAGATATTTTTATGGATCATCCAGAGACAAAGATTTCAAAACATCCCGTATTCAAACAGTTTTTATATTGGTGGAGATACGTAGACGACGTACTGGAATGTTTCACAGGAACTAACAGGCAACTCGACCAATTTTTATCGTATATTAATTCACTTCATAGTCATATAGAATTTACAATAGAAACAGAACAAAATCAATCCATAAATTTTTTAGATTTAAAAATTAGCAGACTTCAAAACAAACATGACTTCTCCATATTTCATAAACATACCCATACTGACACGACTATACACAATTCATCATCCCATCCAACACAACATAAACTGGCAGCTTATCATAGTATGTTACATAGATTAACAGAAATTCCGATGTCAAAATACAACTTTGAGACAGAATTAAATATAATTAAGCAAATAGCAGTAAACAACGGATACAATGAACAAACAATTAATAAAATGTTAAATCAAAAACTACACAAGAAAGCCCTGAAATTAGTATTGCCACCACCAGAGAAAAAACTCAGTACCTTCTGCTCGGTCACATATACAGGCAAAATGTCAACAAAAATTGCCAAACACCTAAAAAAGAAAGGAATAACACCAGATTTCCGAACAAATAACAACCTAGGCAAATATATTAAAAATAACAAGAGCCGAAATAAAAAACACTTAAATAGTGGTGTGTACAAACTTCAATGTGGCGACTGCCCAAAAACTTACATCGGTCAAACTGGTAGAAACTTTGATAAACGAATAGCAGAACATAAAAGGGCTTTCAAGAATAGAAAAACAGATTCGACATACGCACTTCACCTTCTAGATCATAATCATTCTTTTAATGACAAATTTAAAATTCTTCACATTCAAAATAAAGGCCTTAAGCTATCTTTGTTAGAATCTATGGAAATCAACAAATTAAAAAACACAGATATAATTCTGAATGACCAACTTAAGACAAACAGTTCTCCCCTCCTCAACCTATTTCATTAGAGACTATAAATTTGTAAACCCAAGCCAAAAATAGAACACTTGAGAAAGGCAATCAGCCGAAACAGCTGTAGTGATAACATTTAAAATAAAGTTTTCAGTGTTTTATTGTTACATAAAATGAATTTCCATCAAGTAACAGTCGAATCCATCAATTATTTTTTTTTCGTTTTTACCCCCGTGCGATGTGGGTTTTAGGGGGAAAGCCCGGGGGTAAAAGTGCTAAACTTTGTTACATCTTTTTTAGGGACCCAACATTAATATTCCTTGCAAAATTCAGCTTGTTCTTATGATTTTTAGGGGTCAAGTCTCTGACGACTGGACTAATTAGATAATATGTAATCTATTTTATTTTCAGTCATCGTGTGGGCTTGGGTATTAAAAAAAGAATAAAAAAATGTTCTCTACAATATTTTTATTAAAAGATAGTATCAAAATAGTCATTGGTGTGTTTTTACATTATTAACTAAATTTAAATAATAAATAGAAACAGATATTTACAAAACAGTACAACATACTTTACATACCTAGTATGGCAATACATCTTAGCATTATTATTTACAAGTCTTACTTAATTCTAACATAATTAACAACGTTTAACTAGTTCGTTCTTTGGTTCTGTACTGGCGTATTCTGGTAAACTACAATAATGTTACATACAAAAGTGAAAGTTAATTTGTTTAATGCATTTTTAAGTGCTTATAATATACAGTGTGTACCACCACTATGGGGACTACTTTTGTTTGACAAATTTTATTTTATCTTAAAGCAGAATTTTACACCCAAAGTTTTAAATTTTTTAGACTTCTTGCTAGTATCCTTGCATCCTTAAAATTATGGTATTTATATTTGTATGGTATACGTTAAGTAATAATATACAAGTTAACATTTTTTTTACGAAATCTTTTTACGATGATCTTAAATAATGGATAATGATTTCTAATAGATCTAGAGGTCTTTATAGGTAGCAAACTTTTGTAGACGAAAATATAGATTTATGTTCGCGAGATATATCGAGTCCATTAGGTCCATTTTATGGTCTACGTAATAGTATATGATAAAAATTATATTGGGACAGGCTGTGTGACCAAAAGCTTCCTTTAAGACGACGTACAGTGTGAACCCATGTAGGTATTGCTGTCGTAGAGCGTATCAAAAAAGACACGAATGAGTCTATTCGACATCGTAAAAGATCATGGTTAGCTGAATTATATGCTACAACCTAAGTTAAATTTGAGACGCGCAAAAAGTGCTCCATACTTTTAGCTAATGTCGGCCAAGTGAGATTGTCGTTAAATCATATTTTCATAAGAAAATGTTGTTTAGCGTTGAATAATCGATCCTTATCTCTTTAAAAACGATGACAACTAGAACATTACTTTTAATAGCGATGGCTCTAGAACAACTAACAAGAGCTTACAATCTTTAACTTGACATCCAGGCTTATTTTCTGTAAAGTTGTGTGAAATCCGTATGCTAAGTTCTACTTGAATGACACCACTTGTCGCATTATTGCAGATATATCTAAATTTTTAAAAACCAGATAATGACAAATCTTCTTTCCAGCGAGCATAAATACCTAGGTATTTATAGACCATTATCTTCAGCGTAGGAAAAGATAACCAAACTATTGATCTTCTTCGACTTATAAGACCGACTTGGACTTGAACTTTAGTGTTGACTTACGGATCAGAAACATTGACCATGACAAGGTGAACAGTGCAAAATATCCGTGTGACTCAAAGGGCAATGGAGCGTGCTACGTTGGGCGTTTCAGTGCGAGAAAAGATTCCAAACTGTCAGATATGAAGATCAGGAATGGCTGATGTTGTAGAGAGAATAGCAACAGTGAAGTGGAAGTGAGCAGGTCACGTCACTCGAATGACAGATAACAGATGGAGAATGTTGATACTGAAATAGAGACCAAGAGATTATGCCTACCGAAACAGAAGTCGTCCACCAATACGTTAGACTCACTACGTTGATCTAAAACGTTGCCATAGGAGTCAATAGGATGCCAGAGGCATAAAATCGAAACAGATGGAAAATTATGAAGGAGATTTATGTCCAGCAGTGGACAGACGAAGAATGAGTGATAATGATGGTGGACCTAAATGATGCAAAACATTGTAGATAATTGGACCTCCCGAATATTCGAGCCAATCATGAAGCTCATATACCAAAAGCAAAGCAGATTTTTTGACAACTAATATAATTTGTTTGCGCTTTCTTTGGTTTTAAAGTTCTATACTTTTAAACAATCTAGTATAAATACCATTAAAAAGGATGTCTAGTATCAATTACATCTTGGATACTTGATGTGCTTTCTTACATGAAGTTAAATTTTTGTATATATTTGCTTTTAAGAATATCATTTTTCCGATAATATACTTTAGCACACATCTTTTTTTTTAATCCTCATTTCGCTAGTTGCGACAGCTATCCACTCATTCCTGCTGTTATCAAACCACGTTAATCCCAAATTATACCTTCCGTTTAAATTGGCATGTTGACAGTGCGAAAACCACCAACCCCCTTCGTAGTTGCTAGCACAATGGGTATTAGAAATGTCTCTGTCGTTGTCAATGGTGGAGAACTCCATTAGGTTTTGATAGTTGAAGGCGTCACTAGCGTTACCGCTGTAATGATCTATAAATAGTTTGAAACCGGCAGAAAAATCAGCTACCCTGAAATTTTGATAGTTGGCTTGCCAATGTTGATTGTAGATGTCCCTCATATTAATTTGTAGTTGACTGCAGTTCATCTTGGTGAGGTAATTAATGTTTCTATTGCCCAGCCAGTGTTCACCTAAAATAAAAAATATCTTTTGAGACAGGTAAAATACATAATCCAATTACAAATTAAAAAAATATTACTAGAAAACTAAAGGGAAATCTTATACGTCAACAAATATCTTTAGAACTAAGCAGCAACCGATATACCTATTCAAAATTAGAAAGAATCCAGTAGGCAAACAAGGAAGAACTATACTATTGCTTGACTCTGAAAACAAACTTAAATGGTACGATATATACCCGTATTATACAAATAATGGCATATGCTGATAATATCGTGATAAATGGAAGAACCCGAAATAAAGCAGTTGAAGCCTTTACATGTCTCAAAAATGTCGCAGAAAATATCGAATTTGTGATTAACACCCAGAAAACTAAATAGATGGCGGCTATATCAAGAATGCAACCAAATTACTAAGAGGTGAAACATGAAACTATATAAACGGCGGAAGAATTATGCTACTTAGGGTCTCTTCTTTTTCTTTAAGTTCCACTTCTATCGAAGGTTGGAAACCATCATGGCTATGCGGACCCTGTGGTCTGCCGCTCTAAATAATTTTGTACCACTGTATTCAAACCATTCCCTCAGGTTCTTAAGCCATGATATTTTTCGTCTTTTCACTTTCTCCGAATTTTGCCTTGCATAGTAAGTTGCAATAATGAGTGTTTTTGCCCTCCGATTACATGTCCTAAGTACTTAAGTTTTCTTGTTTTGGTAGTCAATATTATTTCGGGTTCTTTCCTATTCTTCTAGTGGCCAACTTATTCAGGTGCACTTGTTTTAGTGTTTTAGTGTCCATGCTTCCAAGCCATAGAGAAGAGTAGTGAACACGTAACACCGAAACATCTTGTAGTCCTAACCTTACATATCCCAACAAAGAAATTTTTTAAGTTTAACAAATGATGCACGTCTAATTTTAGTACGTGTCTTAATTTCTTTGCTTTGCTCTACATTTGATGTTATCCATGTCCTGAAGTATTTGTATGATCATGCATTTAGCTTTCTTCAAATTAATCTTTATTCTGTATTCATGACATCATTCAGCATTTATTAAGGCATTCCCTTCAGCATTCATTAAGGCATTGCATTACGTTCTGTAAATAATTGTTTTTAGTCGTCATTATTATTAGATATTATCGTCTACAACACGCAAGCTATTCTAAACTTCTCCATTGACAGATATACCTTCTATTGAATCTGAGAGAGCTTCTTTCAGTATCACTACACTGTGGATTCTGACGATTAGTGGTGACAGCACGCAAACCTAGCAGACTCCTCTCTGTATTTTGATATATCGGGTGTTCTGGTTGTCAACACTTACCTTATCAGTTTGATTCCAATAAAGATATATAATTTTTAGATCACGACTATCAATATGGTTGCTTTTTAAAATATCCACAAGCTTTTTATGTTGAATATTATCAAATGCCTTTCCAAAATCTACAAAACAGTACATGACCTGATTTATGTCCATGTATCTCTGGACCAGTATATTCAAGCCAAACAAAGCATCTTTTGTACCCATACGATTCCTAAAGCCAAATTGTGTGTCACTTATTTCATATTCAAGACAACAATTTTACTGTGTCTTATTTTCAAAAATGTTTTAAGTTTGTGGTTCATTAAAGCTATTGTTCTGGGATCTGAGCAGGATATTGCACTTGACTTTTTGGGTACCTCTACAAAGGTCGATTGCAGCCATCGTCTAGGGATTGCGGTAGTCTGATATATTAGATAAAGGAGTTTAACCATTACATCAATAACATCTTCATCAATGAGTTTTATTAATTCGATGGGCATATCATTGTGCCACAATCACAGTGACACTATCTCTCATTCTCTCCTTTAGAACCTGTCATTTCTTTGTTTTTTTTTTTGTGTAAATTAAAGCTATCCTACTCTTTATCTATTTCCTTGCATCTGTTGGAGAGCCACCTCTTTTTTGCCCCTAGAATTTTTTTTCAGATGGTTGTGTGAATTTCTTTTGTATTTATTTAGGTCTTTTGCTTCGTTTTCTTCGTTTTCCATAAGTTTAAGAATTTCTACTATCATCCAAGGTTTTGTTTTTTGTTTTGTTCGAGATGAAGACTTACTACGAATCTTTGAAAGAAAAGTATTAAGAACGAAGTGTAGTGGAGTTAACTAACAAGGTCTATGGAAAAAGAGATATAATATAATTTCGAACTCCATAGATCTTTTGGCGATGCAGATTTGACGGGGAGTCACGTTATGCGAATGGATGAAGGTGATCTTGCTAAAATCATCTTACTAAATTGGCCGGTCAGAGGAATAAGAGAGGGCGATTTAAACTCGTATATCTAGACAATGCGATTTACAGGAATATTTAAGGGAGATTGGAGTGACAGAATACAGACACTTGACAGGAAATTATGTTTTGAGGCAGGCCAAAGCTAACGTAAGGCTATAGCCCCAACTGATAATCATGAAAATCCTTTTATTTATTTACGAAAATTTTGAAAATGTTATATTTATTATACAAAAAGATTGGAAAAAAAAAAATTAAAAAATTAATAAGTATATTATTATTGATGCAAAGAGTATAATCACTTACAGCAGTGAAGTATGGCAAATAAAAGAAAGATACAAGAGAAAACTTGAAGCAACAGAAATGGATTTCGGGAGGCGCTCAGCAGGAAAATCAAGATTAGAAAGGGTAACCAACAACAGAATTAGGGAAATAATGAATGTGAAAGACACAATAGTAGATGACATTAGTACCAAACAGCTTAGATGGTATGGACACGTACAAAGAATGTCCGAAGAACGACTCCCGAAACAAATCCTAACGTGGACCCCTCATGGTAGACGAAAAAGAGGAAGACCCCGCCTTAGTTGGAGAGAAGGCATAAATCGAAGTATGAGAGAAAGAGAATTAGATGAAGACCTTTGGATAGACCGAAGTGAATGACGACTAGGCATCGGAAGACGTAGGAGAACGTTTTAAAACCGATATATATATATATATATATATATATATATAGGAATATATATATATATATATATATATAAAGTAGTTAGGTATTATTGACTGACACGTTATGTAAACTAAAGTTTTATTTTGAGGATGCAGTCATTTAAGTAGGAATATATATATATATATATATATATATATATATATATATATATATATATATATATATATAGGAATATATATATATATATATATATATATATATATATATATATATTATGATGCATAATATATATTAGCCCCTATCGATTGACATGCTCTTGTGATATTGGTGGTTGATGGTGAAAAATCCAGTGGAAAAAATGCCATTCACAATATATATTCTGAGGTATAGATTAGAATATTGTTCTGAAGCTATTTTCTTGTGGCATTTTAAATTAATTACTATTTAACTGGGAATAAGCCACAATTAAAGATAAAAATACGTTTATTGACGTTTCAATTTCCACTTCGGAAATCGTTCTCAAAATACAAACAGTAAATTCGTATTTATTTATTTGTATCAATTTACTGTTTGTATTTTGAGAACGATTTCCGAAGTGGAAATTGAAACGTCAATAAACGTATTTTTATTTTTAATTGTGGCTTATTCCCAGTTAAATAGTAATTATAGATTAGAAATTTTACAAATTTATTATATCAAAATTTGTCTTGAGAAGACAAAAATGCTTTGATTTGGTAGCACCTGAGATAAACTGCATAGATAAAGAGACAACTCTATCACATTCCTTGAAGTGTAATCGATTATGTATTCTTACCAGTGGCAGATCCAAATCCGTTAGAGTATTCATTCCAATTTCTATTAAAGTCAACAGTACCATCATAGCGTTTTTGAATAGTTGTCCAACCATCTTCGCAGTGGGCTAAAATGGGTTCAACTTCTCCCGGGGAAATTAGGTAAATTCCAGGTGGACCATCCACACTACCGCAATCTCTAGGTAATTTGTTAACAATGTTTTTGTATTCGCTTTCGAAAGATCTAAGTTCTTGGACTAGATGGATGGTCGCCTTGGTGGCATTGACATTTATAGAACTTGATTCTTCCTGAAACAGAAAATATTATTAAATAATTAAAGTATTTATTTGAACTAAACGTTTACTTTTGTTTTACTAGAGTATACAAATCTCATGTTTTGAAATTTTTTCTTTAGGTAAGTATCTTTTATTATAATTTAGAATTGGTTTGACTTTTAAGAAAAATCCCGGACTAAATTCAGACTAACTGTCGGGAGTTAAATATTAAATTTATTAAAAAAAGCTGCTTTATAATAATATTGATTTAGAAAATTTTAAATCATAACATAAAAAAGCGAGTTGTTCTCATTACAAGTATTACGCAAACTTTACGGTTTCTTACCTTCAGAATATGATCATGAAGTTTGGAAGTTTGAACCGCATGCGATTTAACCAAATTCGTTACAACTTCCTGAACTTTTTTAAGTTGATCGTGATCCTCCGTTGTTTTATCTTGCATATTTGAAACAGAAAATCCAATCGCCTTCATAGAGTCAATCGAATTTTTTTGATCTTCCCGCACGAGCGATACGGCCGACGAAGTTTCGGAAAGCTGCACTTCTAACTTGGATATTTCTTTTCGGAACTCCGGCAGAGTTTTATCTACCTTGTTTTCAATGGTTTCAACGTTTTCTAAAAGTTCCAGCATAGATAAATGTAGCTTATCGAAATTGGCCAACTGTTGTGTTAAGTTGGTTATAGAGTTCGAGTTAGATATTTGCGTTTCTGTTATGTTTATTATTTTTTCCGATAAACTTTCATATTCGACAGATTTCTCTTTCTTATCTTGGATAGTTTCCAAGTTTTCTCGCCATTTGAGCGACTTTTGTACAGCTTTTATGTCTTCGTCCATCTTAATGATCCGAGATTTGAGCGAATAGTTCTCTTTGTTAAGGGTTTTTGTAGTTTTTTCTAGACGAACGATATGTTGCTTCAATATTCTTTGGTGTCTGGAGGGATGAGCGCTGATTTCGTTTTCTAATGATGGAGATTTCTCGTTGAGTATTTTCCAGTTTTGATTCCATTCCATTTCAGCCGTTTTTAACTGGAATAAAAAGGTTTTTTTAACTATGTTTATTAATACAACTTTGATATTTATATAAAAAAAAACTAATTGTTTAATATCTCCAATTAGAATAGCAAAATATTGTAAATAGAAACATACAAAATATTTTATCACTCTCCTCTACATCAATTATGCAGCCGTATAAGTATTCTTTGATTAGTTAAAATAACAAAGAAACAATCAGTAGATTACAAAATGCTGTAAGCATATTTTAAAAATAAGTACCTTCAGAAATGTTGTAAGTTAAATAGACAAAAAAAATAGCTCAAAAGCTCTAAAAAACAGATATATTTACATTTAAAACTACGAAATGGGTGATAATACGAAAAAATGTTAATTACGTCAAATTTATTTAGAAAACACAAAGGTATACACTTAACCCAGCGATGCTCCAACTTCTTTAACCCGTCTGAAAAATATGTTTTCTCGAGGTCTACAAAGAAGGCATTCGTGGTGACGATGACCTCCTGTTTAGACTTAAATTTCTGCCCGGGGAATGCATTTTTCAAGTTTGGAAAGAAAAAAAAGTCACATGGGGTCAAATCTAGAGAATATAGTGGATAAGGCAACAGTTCGTAGTCCAATTCGACCTATTTCGCCGTGGCAACGGCGGAAGTATGAGCGGGTCCGTTGTCATGGTGGGAAGAGCACTTTTTTCTTCGCTAAATGGAGTTATTTATCTGCAATTCGGCGCCCAATCGGCCCAATAATTCGGCGTAATAGAGCCCTATCACAATTTTACCATTCTCCAGATATTCGACGTAGATTAGAAAAGGATTCACAATTACCCCTTGTTTAGATACAATCTGTTTTAAATTAAAAGAGAGGGAATTTGGTGATGTTGTCAAAACAAGTTTTATAGCAAGTCCTACATAACATAGGTTTTGAATTAAAAAAAAGGTTACCAAAAATGGACTGTGTAAAAGAAGTTTTTTGTACACATGATTGAGTTATTTACCAAATTTAAAGAAAAAGGAGAAACGTTTATATATTTGGACACAACATAGATATTTTCTAAGGGTGATGAGTCGTTTTTTTGGCGTGAGAATTTTCGTCGGCCCAAATGTGCTCGTTAAAATGGTTTGTTATTCAATTTCTACTGAAGGTAACCTCGTCGGTAAACAAAATGTCTCTAATATAATTAACATTTCGAGTGTTTTATATTAACAACCAGTCGCAAAATCCAATGCTTTAAGGGATAGGGTTTAAGCAGCTGATGCTTTAAACGCCTCCAAACCCATACGTGAGGAACATTTAGTTGAGCAGCCATTATCCTTGTACTTGTTCCAGGGACTTTTTCAATGATTTCTAAAATGTCTTCATCAGTTGCATCCATTATTGGACGACCACTATTGCCAGCAACTTGCGGCTGGAATGTACCCGTTTCCCCTAAAGACTATCAATGGTTAGAAATAATCGTCTATCGGGTGTATTTCGATTGGGGTATTTTACTGCATAACGCCTTGTGGCTGCTGCACTATTTCCTTGACGTTCACTTGCGATATTCCCGATAATTTATTGAAATTATAATTTAATCTGATCCAACTTACCCAAAGTTAAATGCATATCTGCCAATTTTTAATATTAATGTTAGTCACATAATAAATGATAACTTCAAATTATTGACTATTATTAATGGAACTGTTTGTAATTATTGTATCTGTAGAAGCTAATTGTAATTTTATCGCTGGAAAAATATCGAACTTAGTAGTGAAGTTCGGTTCGGTTCGTAATGCCCCTTTGTCCGCTTCTCGTCGATCGATGATGATAGGGTTAAATAAATGTTGAAGTTGTGGAGTAACAGTGATGATTTATTGACAGCAACTCGTAATTACACAATATGATGTTCGTTCGGTAACTACTCAATATTGGCTGTGTTCATTTGAACTCAAATCCCCAATTTATAATCTCACACATAATAGATACATAAGCACCTTAGGTCATTGCTTCGTTCATATCACACCACCTAGCTTTTGCTTATAATACAATTTAATCTACGCCTTAATTGCGACACTTAGGAAGTTCAATTAGAAAATATTATTATTCGGCAATTTATTTAGTTGTAGATAAATGAACTAATATTAAATTATCATACGATATGGTTTTGCAATATGTATAATGCAAACTTATACACGTTGAAACTATAAAAGATTAAGAAGTTAAGAATAATGTGAGATTACAAATTAAGGGGTTAATTTGTGATTGAACAATCGCCAACTAGGAAAAAACTAGTTTTTTAAAAAAGTGGTAAGAGGCAAAAAAGATTTAAAAATAATATGTTAAACTAATGATGCCACAACATTCATTTGATTTGAACGTACTCAATAGTTTGGTGGGATTTAGGGCTGCACCCCCCCTTAAAATTTGTCTGTGAGCTTAGATTTTGTTGTTTCTTTTGTATGGAAAATGCTTTAAGAAAAAGAAAGTAACGTGTCCATTTTTATTACAAAATGTCAAGTAGTTTAGGAGATACAAAAAAATAATTTTTATTTTGTAACTTCAAAGGGCCGTAACTTTTTTGTGTACACTTTTGTACTAAGGTAAGTTGGATTCATTCAATTTATTTTTGCCCCCGGAATGCGTGATTTAATTTATGACATCCCTTTTTGAAACACCCTGTATATATAACTGATTCACAATTTCAAGTAATTTGTAATATCTATATACATCTAAAATCGGAATAATTGTAAAACTATAACGAAAACACAATATATTCGCCTTGACTAAGACTCTTTCCTATTTATTAAGCATGTTTCTAACAATTTCATAAAAAAACTGTACCACGTATCCTATACGCAACAAAGGCGGTGGTCTAAAAAAGAAAAAAACCCTCCTCAAAACATATTGTAACCGTATACCCACACCACTAGGAGAGAATTTGCGGTGGTTGAATAAAAATAACTTTCATCAATTATCTGTAGCTGACATCCTAAGAAAATGTATGGATACAGAATCGGCCTTACTACTTATTAAAGGTATCGAAGAAGAAGATCATCCTGTTACAAATTATGTCAAAAATTTGTATTGAATGTTCACAATTTATATTATTTCTGCGAAGATAAGAAAAAAATTTAATAGCAACCGATTAATAATGTGGATATAGAATATGAAAAGTTTTGCTTATATATATATATATATATATATATATATATATATATATATATATATACACTCACCAGCAAAATTAACGGAACACCTTAAAAATGGGACATGTTAGATGACTCGAATTTCCTAAACCTGTTGTCTGATTTTAGTGATTTTTTTAGTATGTTATAGGTATATTATTTAAGAATATCAATGAAATAATATTGTTGCTAGACAGGTCAATGTGATTTTATACCGGGTGTAACAACCACACTGTGTTTTTTCCTTAAAGTTCGAAAAACCCTGTGGAATATTCTAGCATATATAAAATATTGAAATTAAAGCTCAATTATAGTCTCAGGCTTTCTTAACATTTTCTTTTTTGATTCATTTGCTTGTGTTGGATAATAAAAAAGTTAGGTACGTTAACAACTAGCAATGTTTTTCATCAATAAATGCTCATTTTCTTCTTAGTTTCACCAGCATATTTAAAGGAACAACCATAAAATCTGAGTATTTTCTCTCTAGTCTATATACTGTTTAGATAATATCATAATACGAATGGTGGTGAAGTATTTTGAATTTATATTACAATGGTAGTACAATATAAAACCTGTTTAAGAAGAAATAAAACACAAAGATGTCAGACTCAACAAAATACGGATTTTAAACGCATTAACTTTATTGTACAGTTTGAACTTAAATTGGTTTTTTATGCATTTTTTTGGCTTTAATAGCGTGTGTTTCCCCTACGAGCACTTACAACTGCAGTTATTCGTCTTCTCATACTTCTGATACCGCTATCGATCAGTTGTTGGGCAGTCTCTCCCATTCCTCAATCAAAGCAATTGTGACTTCCTCTCTGTTTTGAATAGCAGAAACCCGTGCCCTAAGTTTTCTGCCTAGCATGTCCCACATATCCTCTATCGGGTTTAGGTCTGGGGAACAAGCTGGCCAATTCATCGTTGTTATACCCACTTGTAATAAGAAATATCTTACACAGTCTGCGACGTGTGGGCTCGCATTATCCTGCATTAAAATAAAATTTTCGCCAATATATGGTGAAAAAGGTACCACATGGTCTTGGAGAATATCTCTGATATACTTATCTGCTGTTAATGCTCCATCATCAATCACCACTAACTCTGTTATTGCTCCCAAACAAATACCGCCCCACACCATAATTGAACCTCCACCAAAAGGTACGGTCGTAGTAAAATTGAAAGGAGCATTTCGTTCTCCTTGGCGTTGATACAATCTTTCTCTATCGTCGATGTAATTTACACAGAAACGGCTCTCGTCCGTAAAGAGAATTTGACTCCAGTGGTTATCATTTCAATTTTGATGTACTCAACCAAATTGTAGTCGTGCTAAACGATGGTGTCTCTGGAGTCTGGGAGCTTTTATTGGCACATATGACTTGAGACCGGCTTTTTTAAGTCTCTTTCTTACTATGCGCTCAATTAAATACAAGTTTGTACTTGTTATGAACAGACAGAATGACTGTAAAATGTAAAACACAATACAAATAAACAAATTAATTGACATTTAAGACTTTCTTGTGACAAGGAGGTTTCAAAGCTATGTAGATATAGTCTATAAAATACAAATATAAAGAAATATTGCATTAATAACAGGTTCCTTTAAATTTGCCGGTGTGTGTATTAAATTGTTAACTTTTCATAGCCTACTTTAGGCTTGTTAATTAAACTAAGCAGAAAATGAGGATTTATTGATGAAAAACATGGCTAGTTGTTAACGTACCTAACTTTTTTATTATCCAACATAAGCAAATGAATCAAAAAAGAAAATGTTAAGGAAGCCTGAGGCTATAATTAAGTTTTAATTTCAATATTTTATATATGCTAGAATATTCCACAGGGTGTTTCGAACTT